TTGATTTGATTTTTTTATTTTTTTTTATTTAATAAAATTTTAAAGAAATAATTTGAATTGATTCTCTTAATTTATTAATTATTATTCTGATAATAATTATTATTCTGATAATATTCTGATGATAATAAATTAATAAAAAGCAATTTGGCACGCAATTGATTTTTTGAATCATTATTAAACAAGTTGCAATAATCAAACTTATTAAAATTTATTAATAAATCTTACTATTGATACTTTCTTTTGTAATTGTAATTTTATAATTTAACAATTTTGATTTATATAAATAATATAATAATGATATATATTATATATATATTATATAATTTTTATTAGTCATTTTTATTAGTTTAGATGATTCAAATATATTACAATTAAATCTTACAATTAAATCTAAATTTTACAATATTTTCATTATACAAATAAAAAGATATGATGTAATAATGAATATGCATATAACTCATTGTATATTTCAGAGATATAATATCGATTTTTATTTTCAAAATTAATTCAAATATTTTTCATATAAAATTAACGAAATTATTTATTAATTGCTAATAAATCTTATTTATATTTTTAAATTTTTATTTTTTAAATTTTTATTTTTTAAATTTTTTATAATGATTTATAGATACTATTTAACTCGTTACTTATATCATTTTTTATTTATAAAAAAAAAAGAAAAATCTAAAAATTAGATATAATAATTTACAATTTATGATATTAAAATCTAATTAAATAAATCCTAATCCTATTATTCAAAAGTTAAAAATCATCTGTTTTATTTAGAAAATTCTTAATTACTTAATTTCTTAATACTAGTTAAATGTTATAAAAAAAAAAAATTTTTTTCTTCGCTTTTTATAAATGATTTGCGGATGTTTTTTATCTAGTTTATCTTTATTGATATACTATTAAGCATATATAATAAGCAAATTACTACTAATCATTTAAATAATATATGAATACATTTACTTCCGTCTTATTATTCTTGTCTTATAACAAATTCAAAATTATATGGATTCATTTATTTCTATTAATAATCTCTGTTTATTGATAATATTGTATATTTTTATAATCATAATCAAAAAAAAAAAAGAATAGAATAAATGTGTAACAACACCCTGACCTATTTCCATTGTAATAGTGATTAGTGAAAATTTTATCATTTTCTAATCGATTTATATTTTTTGGTTTATATTTTTTTTCTACTGTTAAGATAATAAATTATGTTTTTTTAAAATAAGAAAGAAATTGGTTTAATGATATAGCAATCAGTTAATGTCAAACAATATCTTCTCATATGTGTATATAAATTGACCATGAACTACGAACGTTTATAAATTAAATATAGCAGTAAAGAATAAGATGACGATATTAAGCAAAAATAAATGTAACTTTTTCATTTTATATTATATAAAAAATATAAAAAGATATTATATAAAAAAAAAATTAATATTTTTACCATAACAATCTTACACGATTTATAAAACAAATATATATATAAATAATTTTATAATTCTTTTAATAAAAATCATAAAAAAAACTAATTTGTGAATAAATTCGCTGTTCTAAAAGTTGCCATCCAATCTTTTAGTATTTAGCCGACAATTGATGGATAACTGGCATTAACATATTCACAACTATCGCCAATTTAACAGCATCACGACATCGGTACAGAAACTTTCAATTGTTTAAACATAAATATAGACATCATATACATTTCATAATAAGATGAAATGAATAGAAAGTCGATGTCACTGTATGTGCAACACACGATCGTACTTTGATCGGCGAAAGATTCAGGTTGCTAGCGAAAAGATGTGAGACCATGTCGATAAATGATTGAATTGTTGCCGTTGAATTGGCGCACTGCAATTAAAATACATGTAATTAACATGAATATGCCGATACCGACTGGTTGCCGATCAATTGAGGTGCTGTCAAATGGGCGACGACCTTTACCCAAGTATTGGGTAAAATGGCGGAGGTACTGGGGTAAGATGATCATATTAATTTAATGAATACGATTTTGATATGCGAATAAGTCAATCTTATTATATAGTTGGTGTAAAATTTGTATTGGAACAATTAAAGCATTGTATTCGGTTCTTTAAAGATATATAATTCATATATATATTCCTTATATACTTATTATATTATATTATACTAATGAAACAATAAATAATTTTAAAATATAAAAATTATAAAGTGAATCATAGTAAAATAAAAAGTTCATCTTACCCCATTATTTTATTCCAACCAGACATATGGATAAATAAAATATCAATATATATATATATATATATATATATCAAAGTAAAATTGAGATTTAAAATTTTATTGTTAATTTACAAAAAAATATCAATGTTTTTGAAATATATAATGATATCAAAAATTAAGAAAAAAAATATTAAATGGATTAAAATTATGTAACGTATGAAACTGAAATCGCTACTTTTTTCAAAGTATCGATTCATTTTAATACCTATGTCTGACATTATTTGGTATACAAAATTAAAATTTGTAGATTGATATTAATGATTGATAGTATCGATATGATATCGATCTCAATATTAATTATGTATACATATATTATGTATATATATATATATATATATATTATTGACCATAAATATTCTGATATTTTATTAAATTTAAAATAAGAATACTATATAATTAAAGTTCCACAAATTAATAATGTACAAATTAAAGACAAATCAATTTTACTTGTATTATTTTTTTGTCACTATTTG